ATTAATCTTGATTTATGATTTCGTTGGGTCGAACCGAGCGATAATATTTACGTCCTTACCTAAATTAATAAAGCTCGAACAATGATCGTGAGTGTGTGCTCGCAGGCACCAAGGCATTGGACGTGGCGTCCCGGGAACTTTGCCCCGAACTGGAGTACTTCGTGGCGTTCTCGTCGGTGTCGTGCGGGCGCGGGAACCCCGGCCAGAGCAACTACGGCTTGGCCAACTCGGGCATGGAGCGGCTGGTCGAGCTGCGCCAGGCCGACGGATTGCCCGGCCTGGCCGTGCAGTGGGGTGCCATCGGCGACGTGGGACTCGTCGTGGACACGATGGGCGGCAACGATATAGTCGTGGGCGGCACTGTCCCGCAGCGCATCGCGTCGTGTCTCGAGGCGCTGGGCACTCTGCTGGCGCTGCCCCACCCCGTGGCCGCCTCCATGGTGCTGGCCGACAAGCGTCGCTCCGCCGCCCAGCCCACGCAGGATCTGGTGCAGGCCGTCGCCAACATCCTAGGTGAGAAATCTTTTTAGGTTTTGCGACGATCTCTGAACTACCGAACCGATTTCATCAGTCGGAAGTCCTCGAAAGTACTCGAACGTGGCGAACTTAGCCGTCGATCGTTCTCATCGACTAAAGGCCCGCTTCGAACGCAGGTATAAAGGATCCCTCGAAAGTATCCGACTCCTCAAATCTGGCCGAACTCGGAATGGACTCGTTGATGGGCGCCGAGATCAAGCAGACCTTGGAGCGCGGGTACGACGTGGTGCTCGGCGTGCAGGAGATCCGCGCTCTGACGTTCGCCAAACTGCGCGCCCTCACGGGAGGCGAAGAGCCGGCGCCCGCGGCCTCGGCCTCCCCCGCCGCGGACCTCGGTCAGGCGCCCACGCTGGGCGAGCTCGTGCCCGAGCAGGTGACCGTGAGGCTACCGAGCGGCGGCGACGAGCCAGGTCGGCCCGTGTTCATGGTGCATCCCATCGAGGGCGTGGTCGACATGCTGCGGGGCGTGGCGGCCGCCGTGCGGGGGCCCGTCTACGGGCTACAGTGCACGCGCGACGCGCCGCTCTCCGACATGAGCGCGCTGGCCGCCTTCTACGTTGGGCACGTGCGCGCGCTTCAGCCGCGACCGCCCTACACGCTGCTGGGCTACTCCTACGGCGCCAGCGTCGCCTTCGAGATGGCTCTGCAGCTGGAGAAGGTGAGTCTCGGTCCCGTCCTCGGTTTGGAACTCGGTTTGGAAGCGCGAGGGACGTGACTGACGCGTCGGTTCTCTTTCAGGAGGGGCTCGAGGTGCGCCTGGTGCTAGTGGACGGTTCGCCCTCGTACGTCGCGACGCACACGACGCGCGGCATCAACAAGCGAGCGAAGCGCTCCGCCGCCACCGACGAGGCGGACGCGCTCGCCTACTTCGTGCAGCTCTTCCGAGACGCGGACGGCGCGAAGGTGTCCGCCGAACTCGAGGGGCTGGCCGACTGGAACGCGCGCGTCGATCGGGCCGTCCGGCTGGCCGGACGCGGCGATGCCGACTCGGACGAGCTGCGCGTCGCCGCCGAGAGCTTTTATCGCAAGCTGGTCGCGGGGCACGCGTACCGGCCGCGGGGCAAGGTTCGCGCGCCCGTCGCGCTGTTCACGGCGCGGGACAATTACGTGGAGCTGGCGGCCGACTACGGGTTGGGCGCGGTGTGCGAGAGCAAACCCGTGACGCGGCAGCTCCCCGCCGACCACCGCTCCATCCTCGTCGGGGACCCCGCGCGCGCCATCGCCGACTGCATCTCGACGCTGCTGCAATAGGCGCGAGTGCCGAGTTCGCGTACGCGTTTCGTATCATAGTGATCCGGAAGAGACTCGGCGGCGCTCGATACGTAGGGTTACGTAGCGAGAGACGCCGGCCTGCGTCGTCAGATGTGCTTATCTTTATTTATCCGCTCCACTTTCCCGACCCCGCCTTCTCCTTCGCGTCCGCGAAGTGAACCGAAGCGAACAAGAAAATCTTACGAAGGAGCGCGGGGCGGAGTGGACTCGCGGGGTCTTAGTCGTAACTGTATTTATGTTCTGCTGTAATTTATTAGACGAGCGTGGCTCGGGTTTGTGATACGTAGCATTCCTTTAGTTTTAAGAGTATAAGAGTAGAGGTTAAGGCGGGTGTGACGCGCGAAAGCCTCCGTCGATTCACGGTCGGCTCAAGCCTGTGATAAATAAATGTGCATTATTTTTAAAACCGCTTGTTTTATTTTCAATTAGCCACTTAAATAGACATTTATTTTTCGAAATAAATATAGTTTCTTTATCATTTTTGTAAATGACTTAGCATATAATTTAAAGTGCAATTTTAAAATGTACGCTGATGATTTAAAATTATACCAACATATTCAACCGGATACCGACATTGGTTTTCTGCAGGAGCAACTAAACAGAGTTAACATATGGTGCTAAAAAAATAAACCTACACCATTAACATAAGGGGCCAAAAACTTCAAGAGGTGAAAAGCCTAAGAGATTTGGTTGTCATTATGGATAGTTTTAAGTTTTAGGGAGCACGTGGATAGTATTATAAAAAGATCCTCAAAGCTCTGGTTTTATCTCCAGAATAACAGGGAGTCTTACCGATCCCAGTGTCGCTGTTACTATCTTTACCAGCCTCGTTAGAAGCATATTGGAGTTAAATAGTTGTATCTGGTCTGCAATGTGTTAAACCCATTCAGCGGGGCGGATGCAACCTGCAAAGAAAGTTTTTATATCATTTTGTCCTTTAAAAATAATACATGTACAATTTAAAGTAAATATGAGGATAGGTTACATTTTTAATATTTGTAATCTCTGAGCGTTCGTAGAGCAAACATGGACTTGCTATACCTTTTTAAAGTCATTAACGGAATTTCCCGGAAATTTTTGAACGTTTATCCATACAAGTTCCGTCGGGAGTAGTTTATACAATCGAAAATGTTTTCACATCCCACATTGTCGAACAAACGTTGGTAGAAACTCAGCTAAGAGTAGAACTCCTAATTCCTGATTAAGTTGAAAGTCCAATTCTACAAAAAAATAAATCTTTGTTTTTGTTTGTATAATGTAATTGTCGAATTATATAAATAGCCCTTCTCACCTTCGTCAATGACAGTCGATTTCCAGTAGAGTTGAGTTTGAGTAATGAATAGTTATTGTAGTTAGTATTTTAATGAGATAGTTAGCATGGAATAAATACGGGATCAATGGAAAAACTCGATGACGATGACGCTCATACATAAAACAGAAGATGAGTGACATGAACAATTACAGATCCATAAGCTCTATAACAAATATTTACAAAGTATTCGCTAATATAATTCTACATAGACTTAGTAAAATCCTAGGTGACAACCGACCAATGGAGCAGGAGGGAATATTCGACAATAGACCATCTATTGTCCGCTCGAATACTTCGTAGTATGGCAAATCCTAGAAAAAAGCTGAGAATATAATATCCCTTAAGCTTGATTATCATAAGGCGTTTGACTCTCTGGAACATATGGCAAGCCTTGCAAAGTCAGTGGAAACATAATCTGGAATTTATATAAAATTAGAAAAACTAGAGTAAAAAGGGATAAATTAGGAGGGATTATAGATATTGGACGAGGAGTGAGACAGGGAGACCCTCTGTCACCAAAACTGTTTTCGGCGTTTTTGGAGGAAATATTTAGAAATATATACTCTTCAATACTTGTATACTTACTAACATCTGTACCAATGCCCCACTAACGGTAGGGAAGAGGTGTGTCAAATATCGTAGTAATGATATTTGACAAACCTGTACCCGGTAGGGAAGAACAGAATAGACAAAATAAAGAATACAGCGTTAAGAAAGGTAGAAGATGTTACAATAAAAATAAATAAACTAAAGTGACAATGGGTGGGGCACATGGCAAAAGGAACAGAAAAGTGGAGCAAAAAAGTACTAAACTGGTGCCCAAGGTACAGCAAACGACAAAGAGGGAGACAACTTACAAGGTGGATATACCAAATTAAAGAAATAGCTGGTGGTACATGGCAGAGAGAAATTGTGGGATTTAGAGGAGGCCTTTGACAATAAAGGCACACAGATACCTAACAGAAGATTGAAATAGAAACGTGTTTAAATGTAAATGTTTCTGAATTAAAAGGTAATTATTATTATTGTAGTTAAGTGTATAATCGTCTGCCAGTTCGAAATTAAACAGTTTTACAGAATAACTATGAAAACACCCGAGTACGACACGAGGTGTGCGAATATATACTGGTCCTTTGGGTGGCGCCAACCGTATTGTCATTTGAAAATATGTCGCGAAATCTTAGCGGGAAACCCGTTGAGCGGCGAAGACAGCGTAAGTAGGAGAAGGCATAGTTGGTCGATATGCAACCGTTTCAGGCGTTAAATTTCACCAAGTCATTGTTCCCCCAGTCAGTAAAGTCTATAATTAAATACGGTGTGGGACGTAGGTACAACAAACAGAGCTCAACACACCCACGTTGTAGCCCTACACTGCTGATTTCAAAATTGAAGTTATGGTCATCCATGATACTAAATTTAATAAACAATGCAACTCAAAGATACTCGTATACAGACGAGCATTATGTCAATAGGAAGGCGAAATGAGTTGGCCCGATAAAAAGTGGTAACGTATAATTTTGTAATGGCTTCATTTGTCACGAGTCGCTTGTATGTAGCGGTCAGACGGCAACCGCAGTAAAAAAATGTGGAGCGATCTCTTGACAGTTAACCACACGAAGTGTATTGAATATACTTAGCAAGAGGTGAGCGGATTCTAGTTTTCCTATACATGTCGTGACCCAAGCGAAGAGGTGTTTACTCAAGTCGTGGCGCCATTTTATCTATATTAAGCCCAATTTAATCGGGTATGATATTATGGTTAAACATAAGTGATTAAATATTAAAGTTTATCTTTAGAGGCGCTGATATAGATTTTTAATTGTTGGTAAAAAAATTAGGTACAGTCCAAAATCAACTGACATGTAGTTCGATGGAAAGTTTATCTGGGTTTTATACGGTCATTTCCCGAAGAGTTGGCCACATCATACGATCGGGCGACGACATACATATTTACGTATTTAAAAGATCGCAGAACACACGACCGAAGAGCGCTAAGGTGCTCTGCGGACTGTAGTTTACTGTAGACTGTAGAGACTTGCCGCACGCATTGGCCATAAGTCCCAATACGCCCCGCTAGGGCCATCAGTATGATCAGTCGATGCTCGGCAGCAGAACTGTGCGCCTCTGATGCAAACTTTCGCGCTCGTCTACGTCTTGATTGTTTACAATGAACCAATGCCCGGTGGATCGTTTCTCTACGTGAATCGTACCTTCTGCTGCTTCTCATGTGAATTTGCTAGTAACCTTTTGACAAGAGGGTACCACCACAACATGCGTCGAAAGGTATTGCATGTGTTTCTATATTATATGTATGGATACGTATCCATAACATACAAAATACAATACCACGTGTCTTTTTAAAATATTTGATCAATGTAGAAACTTCAAACTAGTAATATTCCCGATTCACATTGTATTGGTCTATCAAGAGTAAACTCGAGAATAAAATGAAGTACGTATCGTGTTTCATTGATGATGTGATTTCACGGTAAACTGGCCGGTAAAGGACTTGTTAACAATGGTATGTAAATATTATGTGGAACAAATATATTATACGTATATATATAATATTCTGGACAAAACTTCTAAGATGCCACCGAGAGGTGACGGTGGACAGTGCCATAAGAGTTCACTATACATTTTTTTATTTCGCAATAAATATATTATCATGTGTGCATCGGTCGAGTATAATAATGGAAATAGATTTTAAATAACCACAATTTACAGAAACATTAGTTAAGGGAAATACTTATTATAGTAACTAAGTATACCGTGATAGAGGCATTATTATTAAGTTAAGAGAGAGCATAGAGATTGAACTAAATATGTAATTGAAATTTTCGCAGAAATCACTTGGTAGTTCTATGAAATTAAAATATAGCATATTATGTTAATTAAGTAAGTATATCTTATAAAGCATAACATTTGATCTACTAAAACGTAATAAATTTATAAAGTTTTGATATTCGATGAAACAGTGACCGGACGGTTGACATTGCGTTGCGAGCCGCGTTTGGTGTCCGGTGTTCACGATTTCTGAATTGGACAAAAAGCTTTACCTCGGCGGCATTCCGGCGGCGGCGGAGAGCCGTTGGCAGGCCGGCCATGCCAAAGCGTTTGGACAGGTTCGTCACATCGTCAATGTTTGGTGAATAGTGCCGAGTCAGCGTGTCTAACGAGCCCATTGCGTCTCCCTAACATCAAGCCTTTCATTATTTCTCGCTAATGTCTGCTATCCGTTTTAGGTATGTGCTAAAGTTGTTATCTCTATATTGTACAGTTATTGCGACTAATATATAGTTACGAGACAGTTTAAGCGCGTGTCGATGATGTCGAAGGATTTTGTAGTTCATAGTTATACATTGCGGACTAAGTCATGGATCCCCGTTTGATGGAATACGGTACGACGTAGATCAAGAGGAATGAAATCGGGCGGGAAGCGCGAAGGCACCACGCTGCTGCCGGACCAGACGTACGAGGCAGTGGACTACCGACCGCGTCGCCCGCCCCGTCCAAGCCGCCCGTTCCGCTCACGCCGACATCGACCCAGGCAAGTATTTACTAACGTGAACTACCCATTGTCAAGTTGAATGGTAAATTATATTATATGTTCGTATTGTCGTTAATTTGGGCCGTAATACGACTGCTGAAAAGTGTTATGTATTGCGCAGAGCGAGTCGGCCGAGTGCGCCGGAGTCGCCGCACGACGCCTCCGCACGGCTTTACACGCGCATTCGCGGTGAGTCGTACTTTTTATTAAAAAATCTTGTTCTCTTAAAAAAGAATCAACAAATGAATACTTGCGGTTCGTATTTCTGTCGAGATCAATGTACTAAACTTCTTAAACAGACTCAATTTGAAGATTGTTAATAAATTTCTCTGCAATTACCTACCAACGAAAGAACCGATGGTGGGAGATTAAGTCGATCGCGATAAGGCAACAAGCACTTCTTAATTGGATGCATCGTCCTAGGCCCTAGTACCCAGTAGTGGCTACAGTCGCTTGTCGCGTTCGTCCGCTTTATCACTTTCTAGTTTGCCCACGAAGCTAGTAGAATATGGAACTTATAGAACATTTAATAGTCGTAAAAAGAACCTTTTTTATCTGATTACATACATTTCACATTACAGGTGGAAGTGTAATAGAGAATAATTTTACAATAATTAGGTAAGATGAGTCGGTTAAAACTTTTAAAAAATTGTGTGAGATTTCAACTTCTTTCTACGATTGTCACATAATTGTGTGAGCGAGATGTTGCTTTTTACTTTAATTTGCGCATCTGTTAAAAGCTTTTATTGTTATACTCGGCCTTATAGGATGGGCCGCAAATCAAGCACAGACATGCCATATTGTTCTTTTAAGTAGATAGGATGACCCGTGTCATTTAGGTGTTAATGAATGCAACATATTCACGGCCCATACTTCCATAGTAGAACTCTTCTTCTTCGTTTAACGACTTCGTTCTGTCATACGGATACTTGAAATAATCTTTTTAAAAAACAAAATGATGTATTTAGAAATTAGTAATTAAGAAACAGAGGTGTAACCTTTATGGACACTGACAATCGACTAACCCTGCTCCCGCCTGGTATGCTTATGCTTATAGTTATGTGCCTTCCTTTTGATAACCTAACATATCAGATAGCCACATCTCATGCATGCTAAGGGTATAACAGTTCGATTAAAATAACGAATTTTATTAATAAATATTATATAAGTGTATTTTTATAGTTAGGTATATAATTTTATTCTATTTAGGTTTTTATGGTAGGTCGCAGACGGATTGCAACATAATTCGTACTGATCTTTAATATGTTTTCGGTAAACAATGTTAGCTGCCTAATTTTTTATTAAAATTCGGATTACTATTGCTTAGATTTAAAATGTGTCTTTAGGTTAATACTCAAAAAAACGAGACAGCTTGAATATTAGACTGTTTATAATTTATTTATAAAAGGACAACACATAATATACCTACAATGCATTTTCTACAGTAGAAGAACAATCTATCTATTCTAAAATACATAACAATTACCATGAACTTAAATGTTTCCAAAAATAAAGATCACACAAGTACACTGCAAATTACAAATTTAAGTTTTTACTAGTAATTTCCTATTTAGAAATCCTTTAGCGAATTAAGTACCCGATAGGCGCTTAACAAAGTTTTTTTTTAAATTGATCAGCCCACTGCCTACATATATAAGTATAAGTAGGGTTGAGGCCTGAACTCCTAGGTGGGTTTCTTCTACAGACGGAATTTGGAGGATTCCGCTGATTTTGATTGAACCTTGGGATTGAATAAGGGAATACAATTAATGCTCTGCAAGAGGTTAATTTATTTATTTGACCATTTCACAATTAGTATAACAACGTTGTTATAATACCGGCTAGTAATTTCCGACAGTACAGTGACATTATTTTAAATTTCCTATGTCGCTGATGATACGGCAGTACTAATGAATGTAAAGTGTAGAGATCTTTGAATACTATAAGGGATTCCACCGTATGTCACCGTATTAAATATTAGGTCCTTACATATGAAATTGGCGTTTTGTATGGGAGGAACAAAAAGTCGAATATTTTTAAATATAATAGATATATTTAATTAATCAAAGTATGAACCATTGTTTTCTATGCACTTTTGCCATCTCATAGGTAGTTCATTGATCCCGTAACTAAAAAATACAGTCGGACGGGAATCAATAAAATCTGTGAAGGCGATTTGGACTGCCCCATCAGAGTTAAATTTTTTCCCTTGCAAGAAGTTGTCCAAATTTCAAAAAAAACGGTAATCTGTTGGAGCAAGGTCCGGGGAGTACGGAGGATGTCTTAGACATTCCAATTGAAGTTCTTCTAATTTGGTAGCCGTCTGTTGTGCAGTGTGTGGTCTAGCGTTGTCGTGAAGTAGCAGTGGCGTGGAGCGATTGACCAGCCTAGGTTGTTTAGCCGCTAGCTTTTCCGTCATGGTTTGCAATTGCTGACAATAGACATCAGCCGTAATAGTCTGGCCAGATTTGAGAAAACTGCAATGAACCATACCGGCACTAGTCCACCAAACGCTTACAAGTAATTTTTTTGGGGTTATATTTCGCTTGGGTCAGGATTTGGCTGGCTGGCCAGGATCCAACCATTGCGCTGAGCGCTTCAGATTATCGTAAAGAATCCATTTTTCATCACCGGTAATGATTCGGTTTAAAATACCTTCATTATTGTGCCGGTTCAGTAATGTAACGCAGTGGTCGACGCGCGTTTGCCGGTTTGCTTCAGTCAATTCGTGAGGTACCCATCTTTCAAGCTTTTTAATCTTCCCAATTTGCTTCAAGTGAATTAAAACAGTTTTATCACTAACACCGCAGCCTGCAGCTAACTCGGACGTGGTTTGCGATGGATCCGCTTCCACAATAGCCTTCAATACTTCATTATCAACTTGGGTCTCAGGCCGTCCACGGGGCTTGTTCTGCAGGTCGAAATTTCCAGAACGAAAACGTTGGAACCAAAAACGAACTGTGTTTTCTTTTGCAACATGACCGCCATACACATCATTCACCCTTCGAATCGTTTCCGCAGCACTAGTGGCACGGCGGAACTCGTACTCGTAAATAATGCGATACTTTAAGTTTTCCATTTTGTAAAACGAGTGACGCAAACAGAAAAAAAACAGAAAGAGAAAACAAATGAATGACGGTCATCGAAGCACAAATACATGAGTAAATAGCTGTACAAATTTGAATTTGGAATTCCTTACCAAAGAGGAGAACATCGTGATTAAAGTGGCCAGTACGAAATACGCCAATTTCATATGTAAGGACCTAATATAACTTTCACCGGAGCATAATACAAAATTGTTTTAATTTTTTCAAACAAACAAGATGTACCTATTCCGTTAAAGAAGCATTCGTGCGCATGTGGTTACTACTTTATTAACTTGAGATATAAACGTTCCTTTTCTATCAATAATTACACCCAAGTGACGAATATCCTGAACCCCCTTCAGTGGTGTGCCGTTGAGCTCATACACAGTAACAAGCTGTTTTTATGAATTAATTATTTTTCTTTTAATAGATCTAGTGTGCAGATTTAGGTGTGAATGTTAAGATTAAGGCGTAAGGGTAATACCTATATTTTGCTGTTATTGATACCTATCAATGATCTTTTGTTAACTAAGAACCTTCTTAGTTAACAACAGATCACATCTATACGAGTGCTTCTATTAATTATTATGC